TTTTCAACAAGGGCCCAGGAAACTATGGAAGTGACTCCAGGGCTACTCTTTGAGAAATGCTGGCTGAGATGACACCTGGACTCTAGGGCACCTACGAGGAACAGCTACCCCCTCTAAATAGGCTTAAGGGAGGGCAGGCATGGTGGTTCATGCCTGTAATTCCAGGACTTTGGGAGGCTGAGGCAGGAGGATCGCTTGAGCCCAGGAATTCAAGACCAGCCTGGTAACATAGCAAGACCCCATCTCTACAAAACATCACGAAAATTAACTGGGTGTGGTGGCATGTGCCTGTAGTCCCAGCTACTTGGAAAGGAGGCTGAGGTGGGAGGATCGCTTGAACCCGGGAGTTCAAGGCTGCAGAAAGCTTTGATTTGGCTACTGCACTCCAGCCTGGGCAACAGAGCCAGACCCCATCTAAAAAGGCTTATGGGAAACAGAAAACATTGTGGGGGTAGAGGCGCTAAGACCTTGGAGTCCCTGGAGGTGAGAACCTCCTGGAGGGAGAAGCAGACACACCTAGAGATTTAGAGAGATGAGGTCCCCTGGGGTAGCACGCAGTCCCCAAAAGGGAGTGCCCATCAGTCCCCACCCTTCCCGTCTCACGTTCGACCTAATGTCTCTTCCCCGCACCTGGAAGCATCTAACCCGGTGGCCGTCCTACTGGGACTGCTGGTGCCTGTGGTGGTCGTAGTACTGGCTGTGACCAGAGATTGCATTTATAGAATGAGGAGGAAGAGGTGAGTCCTGGGAAGAGGAAGGGCGGGTGGGGTGTGCAAATGGGGGAGTGCAAACGGGGGAGCGGCTGGGCCCATAAAGGGCCACTCGGGGACCCATGTCTATTCCCCCATGCCTTCTAGAGAGAAAATGCAGAGCCAGGAGCCAGACAGACTGGCCAGGCTGGTGGACACAGGTGAGAACCGACCCCACAGCCCGGAACCTTGGGGCCTAGAGTTGAGTCTCCTCTCATACATGGTTTTCTTGCTTTCTCCTCAGATATTGTTCTGGACTGTGCCAGTTAAGTTGCTCAGTTTTGAGTTGTCTTCAAACAAGGAGATTAAATAAATATACATATTTATTTATTTGAGACAGGGTTTTGCTCTATCATCCAGGCTGGAGTGCAGTGGCACAATCAGAGCTCACTGCAGCCTCAACTTCCTGGGCCTCCTGCCTCAGCCTGCCGGGTAGCTGGGACTGCAGGCATGCGTCACCATGAGGGTTAAATTTTAACATCATTGTTTTTGTAGAGATAGGGGAGAGGGTCTCACTACGTTGCCCAGGCTGGTCTCAAACTCCTGGCCTCCAGCAATCCTCCCGCCTTGGCCTTCCAGGGCACTGCAGTTACAGGCATGAGCCACGGCACCTGGCCAAAATTATTTATTTTTGTTTTGTGTTTTTGTTGAGACAGAGTCTCGCTCTGTCTGGAGTACAGTGGTGTGATCTCTGTTCACTGCAACCTCCGCTTCCTGGGTTCAAGCAATTCTCCTGCCTCAGCCTCCTAAGTAGATGGGATTACAAGTATGCACCACCTTGCCTGGCTAATTTTTGTATTTTTAGTAGAGATGAGGTTTTGCCATGTTGGCCAAGCTGGTTCCCGAACTCCTGACCTCGAGTGATCCGCCCAACTTGGGCTCCCAAAGTGCTGGGATTACAGGCATGAGCCACCGTGCCTCGTCCAAAATTATGTATTTTTGAGACGTGAATGTCCACATGATTATGGTGGAGGAAGTTGGGTCTTAGAGGGAGGAAAATGAGGGAGAGAGGCACGTGGAGGACTAGGTAGGGCTGGGTTCTGTGCAAAATGTCTAGAGGGGAGAGGAACCTAGGTTTGAGGTGAGGGTGTTGTCCCTGAGAGAAAACCACATGGGGGTGACCCATTCGGTCCCGGCAAGGCTGACATCACTGGGGGAGACAGAAGGAGCAGGGAGGGCAGAAGGAACAGGGCAGGCAGGGGAATGGAGGGTGGGATGCAGCCCCAGACCCTTGGCTTCTGATTTAGGAGAAGACTTCACCCCAGGAATCCGAGTGCTTAGAGGATATGGCCTCTGGCTCCCCACCAAGGTGATTCTGAGAAATTTTACATGTCAAATACAGACTAAGGTTGGGGAATGTGGCTTTTTCTTTTTTCTTTTTTTTTGGAGACAAGGTCTCACTCTGTTGCCCAGGCTAGAGTGCAGTGGTGCAGTCACAGCTCACTGCAGCTTTGACCCCCAGGGCTCAAATGATCCTCCCATCTCAGCCTCCTGAGTAGCTGGTACTACAGGTATGCACCACTACGCCTGGCTAATTTTGATGTTTTTGGAAGAGAGAGGGTCTCACTATGTCGCCCAGGCTGGTCTTGAACTCCTGGGCTCAAAGAGCTCAGCCTGCCTCCACCTCCCAAAGTACTAGGAATACACGTGAGCCATCTCGCCCAGCCAAATGTGGCCTGCCTACCTTCCCTCCCTCCCTTCCTTCTTTCCTTCCTTCCTCCATCCTTCCCTTCTCCTTCCCTTCCTTTTCTTCCTCTCTTCCTCCTTCATTTCCTTCCTTCTTTCCTTCCTTCCTCTCTCCTTCCCTCCCTCCCTCCCTCCCTGCCTCTCTTCCTTCTTCCCTCCCTCCCTCTCTTTTTCTTTCTTTCTTTCTCCCCTCCCTCCCTCCCTTCCTTCCTTCCTTCCTTTTTTAGAGATAGGTGCTTCCTG